TTGCCCGCGACCGGGACAAATCGCACTCTCGCCTGCATTTCGCGCGCTCGGCGCGCACGATCTCCGCAGAGGGTTGCCCGCGACCGGGACAAATCGCACTCTCGCCTGCATTTCACGCATCCGACGCGCGCGATCTCCGCAGAGGGTTGCGCAGGACCGGGTCAAATCGCACTCTCGCCTGCGTTTCGCGCATCCGACACGCACGATCTCCGCAGAGGGTTGCGGCGGACCGGGACAAATCGCACTCTCGCCTGCATTTCGCGCGTCCGACGCGCGCGATCTTCGCAGAGGGTTGCGTTTCGTGGCGGGCGGCACTGCCCCCGGCCTGGAGAGAAAGTTAAGAAGAGCGAGAGGTGAAGATGTGAGATGTAGATGAGAGGTAAAGATGTGAGATGTAGATGTGAGGATGTGAAGATGAGCAGAGATGTAGATGTGCAGATGTGAACATGAGCAGAGATGTAGATGTGTGAAGATGAAGATGAGCAGACATGTCGATGTGAGGATGTGAAGATGTGCAGAGATGTAGATGAGCAGACATGTCGATGTGACGATGTGAAGATGTGCAGAGACATAGGTGAGAATGTGGATGTGCAGAGGTGAAGATATGAAGATGTAGATGAGACAAAATTGGACGAACGAACTATTTCCCTCTCATTCGTATGAAATATTCACAAAACACGAGCAATATATAATCTATTCCAAGCTACCAAAAAGATTTAAAACACGTTCAAAACAACATTATTATATTCCAAAAATATATTCGCCACCGTTTACCAACCTAATAACCTGCCACAAAAATAACCTGCCACAAAAATTAAAATAGCACACATTTAAGAGCAAACATACTTAGATAAAACATCATTAAAAAAAGAAACAGCAAAAATATACAAACGATTCATTCATTCACTTCCAGCAGAAACATCCCTGCCCGTGTTGGGCGGCAGCTGTCCCGTGGACGGCCCGTAGCTTTTTGAGCTATCTGACCCAATCGCTCTCCTAAACAAAGGTCGCGGCCAATACGTCGCCCAAGGGCAGGGTATCATCCTCAAAATGAGGTATCGGTCGGCGCCAACACTCCCTCAGTGCATCTCCTCTGACCGGCCAAACGAGATCTTGTTCTGGCCTTTGGTAGGCCACAGGGTGGAACTTCATCGTCTAGGCCAAGCATGCTTGGTCATGGACATTCAATGGATGGTCACCGATGCGCATGGTCATGCCGCCATGCCAACAAGCCGCTACGCAACGCGAGTCACTGAGCGCCCATGCGGAAACTGGAAGCAAGGGATCAGGACCTCAGATCGAAGGCAGTAATCTGCCAAGGCAAGGCTTGATTTCGTTTATCCGGAGGCAGCTAGGAGCCACTGAAAGGCAATTTGCTGCAGTCCTCGCTATTCTGCTCAAGGCGTGCTTTGGAACCAAAAGAAGCTCGGTCAAGGTCTCGGTCCAGGGTGGAGCATGCAGTGCGATGCGAAGACCACAATTTCTCATGAACTGGGAATGAATACATCCCACACACCAGAGGGGCGCCGGATCGACGGGAATGACCTCTCATGCGTCTGGCGCAAGTGGCATCTCCCCATAGCGCTGAACTTTGATCCAATTGCGCAATAAGACCGGACAGGTGGCCCGCTGGTAGTGAGCTTGCAAGCCATGATGACCCTGGACGTATGTCCTGGCTCGGAATGAAGTCGAAGCGCGACGGTCGTTCCACATGGTGTTCTCGCCTTCAGTAAGCAACCAAGGCCTTGCGGCCAATCATGGTCTGGCGCAACGGGCACGCATACTGCTGCTAGGGGTCAGGTATATCTTGACCGGAGAAGGCCTACTCATCATGAGGCGAGGAGCTTCAGACGCTCGTGGAACTGTTCGCGTGGATGGTCTCAGGTCTGGTCTGGCGGAAATCGGCGATCATCTCCTGAGCAGAATCAAATCGAGTTCAGACTCGTTTGTGAATGCGGTCACGAAGACAAGCGGCTTATCGCAATGCGCACATGTCGACGCGCCGTTCCAGGCATCAAGGAGGGGATTATACAGGTATTCTTGATTGCGTGGAATCCCGTGAACGCATCTCACTTTAAGGGGCCGACCTGCTTGAAGGTTCAAGCTGGCACTGTTGGAACCGGCGTGTCCTAATGGCTGATGGGAAAGTCCGGGGTCAGGACACAAACAGCAGTGTTGCAGGTGTTGATTCTGTCTTTTAAGCTGAGTCCAAGGCGCTGGTACGTGAAGCCTTTCGAAGAGCTGCTGCGTCGATTCATGGGTAAGATGCACTGGTTGTCTGATCGTGCGTCGATGACGAACATTGATCATGCTGACAAGTGAGCGAAATCCCTTGGCCGTGATTCCCGTTTGATGAATGCCGTATGTGACATAGGGGCTGTGCTCCGAAAGCGCATAATGCACATGCTATGTTTTTCGCAATCGAATCCACTCACGCGCGAACGCTGGTGCACTTTGCTAACTAGGCGGATCAGGGCTACACTCTTGCTGGCATTTATGTCCAGGCCATAGGCACGAAAGACAGCCAGGGTATGAGCCAGGTGAGAAAGCGCCTCTAGCCCCTCAGAAACAGCACTGATCTCCCACTGCAGATGTATGTCATGATTTGCGTGGCCAATAACAAATTTATGTGGTATATAGTACTTGTGGGGTGCAAGCCAGGAATAGAGGAGTCGAGTCAAGTCGGGGCCAAGGTCAAAAAGGGTCAGTGCTCGAATCACCAATGATCTGTCGACTCTCTCGAAAGCCTTTTCCATGTCAAGAGAAACCTGGAGACCCCCGGCAATCCCCTGGGTGCATGCCTCTGACGTTCTTGGCGCAACGCATGGGCCCGATGGCAATGCTGTGAGACAATGAGCAAGCAATCTCGGGTACTGCGGTTGGGCAGGTATGCGTACAATAGCAATGTCTTCAGTTGTGGGTAGGCAGTGGAGATGATTTGTGAACATTAAATACCAGCAAGGACTTTGTAAACAGGATGTTGGAGGCATATAGGTCTAAGCGCATGTGGTTGCGAGGGGGACTTATTAGGCTTCGATATGAGGTGAATCCATCCCGTGGTCCAGTGCTGTGGCAGATCGGCAGGACTTTGATTTCACACCTGCTGGATGGTGTTGAATACTGGGACTGCCAGTTCCAGGTGAAACGCCGGAATACCATCCAGTGCCAGAGCCTTTATGCTAGGCGCCTGCCGGCCAGTCTCAACATCAGCAAGTGTGAATGGCAAGCTTGAGCGTGCGGTGGATTGAAATTGACATCATGGAACAACTGACCAAGGTATGAGGTAATGCGTTCCAGTTCCTGCTAGGGAGTGTAGGGTGCACCGTGCACGTCAAACATCTGAATCTTGCGATGGCGTTTTTTGGGACACAGGCTCCTACCCCGTCCCAAGACATGGCTCTTCATGGCAAGATCAGCGCCCTCAGCCAAGAAAGTCTCCAATTGATGCCCGCCGCCGCTGAAATCTGCTCAGGTGATGGCATTGGCGAATAAGTGCCAACTTCGGAATGATCGAGCAGCGCGGCGCGCTTGTCACATTTGTGCAGCCAGGGAATCTGGGATGGTCTGGGTTCGAGCGCGCGCCTCTTTGCAGAACATTTGAGATAAATTGGACGAATCGAGTCCTCCAAGTCCTTCATCTGCAGAGTCCCCATCTGGCTGGCATACCCCTGAGGGCGCTTACGGCAGGCTCCCACCTCATGGTCAAAATGTTGCCAGTGCATCGTGTTGGAGAGGCGATCTATGACAGGAACACTGGATGGTGGTCTGATCTTGGTCAACCACTTGGGAAGCTGGAGCAATGCCTGGGGCCAAGACAACTGAAGTTTGTCTCGAAACCAGTCTTTAACCTGTGGTTGAACATGTTTCCATCTGATCTGAAACTCCCGCGCGAACACGAAATCGATTCGACTGCGGTGCTCGCCGTGCACAAAGGTGGGTTAACATCGTGGTTTGCAATTCACGGCCACGAGTCCAGCTTCCCACAGTAGTTGCAACAACGAGGCCTTGTCAGACTGTGTGGCTCTGTCATGCTTAGGGTCCGGGGTACAGCAGTGAGGCGGCGACAAATTCACTGGGGTGTTATTAAAATTACCCAGCACTTCTAGCAAAGCGCGATTGGGGATTTTAAAGCACGCTCATATTGCTTGGCAAGAAAAGTCGAACATGTTGCAGTCTGCCCGGGATCAAGTCAGCCACTGGTATCTGATCAATCTTGGTTTTGCTCGTTCGAACCATGATAAGCGGTGATACATGTCGACTGGCACTGTGGATGCAATGCTACTGCTTGGTGGACCACATGGTGGAATGGGACCAGCCTGTTTCTTGCACAACAATAACATCAGGAGCTTGTTGGTCACACCAGTCACTGTTCAGGCCTTTTAAAGCGTTCCAACCCAAGCATCGAAGGGCTCCAGGAGATCGAGATGGTTCCTGACAGCGAGCCGCAGCCGACTCTAGCTTCTGTGCAAATGCTTGTCTGTATGCAAATGGTGCATCTTTGGGGTATATGGTGCGTCCTCGATCGGTTGGACTAGGCCGTAGCCTACAAAGGCCCAAGCCGCATTCTGCTTTGCGGGCATGTGTGGTGTATCAGTCGTCTGAGACCCGCGCTCATCTCGCTCTGCGGGGAGTGTAGATCATGCATTAAACAAGTACGAGGCTCCATACCGCCTGGACTTAGGACCAGGCTCTGCTGTTCATGGTAAACTAAGAGGTGGAGGAGCAACAGGGCACGGAGCATGTGCAGTAGAAAAGATCAGACCCGCACACAACTCATGGCTCTAAACGGCCCGTCGCCCCAACTTGAACTACAAATGGCGCTTACATCGAAAGAACACAAAAATAATGCAAACATTGAACTTAAAAAAAGAACTAAACCGAAACAACAAATTAAGCACAAACGACCCTGCCAGGTGCAGAGACCGGCTCATAGCCCTTTTTACGAATCTAAACTTCCTGTAATATTTCAACAAATATTCGTAAACATATATCTAAAGATTAGCGAAACAAATATTTATATATATAACATTGTTAAGATTTAAATGCTCAATTCGATAGAAAATCCATGATGTCCGCAAACATGTTGAGATAGCATCGGAACCGCGTACCGGCACCACAGCCTTTGGTTCTGTGATCGCAAAGCAATGCATTCTTTCACGCTCAAAGTTGGTAAGTGCCCCAGCACCATCGCCGCTCTGCTTCTGCCTGGCATGCATGCTCTGAAATGCGCCCTGACATTATGAAGGAGTTCCATGCCTTTGTTGGGCCAGCGCAAAATTGTGATTTACAGCCAACATCATCCATCACAATTAAGGTTCTTTGTGTTGCCAACATGGACATGTAGAGCAAGTCTGCCAGAGCTTCTGTTTCAGCATGGCCACCATCTACAAAAATCAGATCGCATTTGCTGTCCAAGTTTGCAAATACAAACTGAGGTATTGTGACATTTGATGGCCCCTCAATCAGGATATGCTGGCGTGGGAAAATTGTGCGAACGAGGCGGTGACATGCTGGCGTGTAAGACTTTGACATCAGGTCAAACGAAACGAGCTTTGCCGAAGCTGGAGCGCTCAAAAGCATGGCCAAAGCAGAATGGCCTCCATTGAAACCTACTTCGCAAACCCTTTGAACAGTTGCAGCTGCAGCTTGCTCAGCCAGCCACCATGCTTGAGTCATGGAGGACATGCTTTCTATTCGAATGTATCCATCAGAATCAGGACCTAGACTGGAGAACATGACCCAAGACAGAACAGCATGTGCAACCGCAATCAGGCTGCGGTCCCCCCTCGGTAGAAGATGCTTCAGCCAGCGCACATCTTTGGCAGCGCTTGCTAACCATTTGGCTCGTGACTGCTGAGGAGTAGATCGATTTTCAGTATGGATGCCTGCGGCTTCCAATGCTGCCACAAGCTCAAAAGTACCGATATCTCCAAGAGCTCGAAGAATGCCAAGGTCTCGAACGGCAACAGACTTTGCGAACTGGAACAGCTGCACGTTCAGCTCGCGACCAAGCTGGAAGATCGCTGACCAAGTGTTCCCATCCGCTACATCTTCCAACACAGATCTGCGTAGTCCGCTTTGGCGCTCAAGGTCAGAAGAAAGCAAGCTTTCGAAGACAACTTGACGAAGCAAACCCACTTCCGTCAGAAGCATGCCTCGCTGGTCTGCAAGTTTTCCATCTTCCTGGATCTCCTCCGCATTCACTGGGATGCCCCACAGAAAGAGCAGGAAACAAATGACCAAGCGAAAACAGGCTCGAAGCATTCATACTCACTCAGTTCCTGTCAGCTACGTGCACCCAGCTATGCTTATTGCAAGGGCTACAGAAATGTCTAAACATCGTCCCACAGAACATAAGGCTGGACTGACAAACACACTTCAGTGCATGCCTCCATGAATCAAATTCATTAAAACATACCACAAATCTCTGCCCTTCGGTTCCCACATTGAGACTCTAGCAACGTATACCTTCCAATGAGCCAGAAGCAATTCTGGCAACGTGCGATACACCCAACCGCCCCAATGCTAGATTTCTCATCATTGTTTTAAAGCTCTGGCCTGGGTTGAAATTTACATCCGGAACCGGTGAAGGCGGTTTAAGAGTCCCGCCTCGTCCACCGAACTGCGGTGGTAAAGGACACCACCCCAAAGCAACAACAAATGTTCCATAGATTTGCAGTTGCATGGAGGGGGTTTGTCTCTCTTTCTCTCTCCAACAAAAAGGGACATAGAGGAAGAGAAATCAGAAGCACTCATGGTTTAAACTATCTGGTCTACCAATAAGTATGGTATACGGTATACCAGGTGAGCGAAATTGAGACAAACTGGCTTTCTGCGAATGCAAAATAACTAGAACAACTTCTTTAAAACGACACCACATTGAACGGTTAACTGCAGGAAAGCCAGTGTCTTCCCGTGAAAAAATCCGACCTGCAGAACCACGCTTTTTTGGCCAAAGCAACTACGCAAGGGTCCTGGTAGAACTTGTCAGTTGACAAGCTGATTCACTCAAGTGCCTAGCTTCATTGGCTAGCATGGGACTAGGAGAAACGAGTCGCTGAGCGCCCCACAGACCCCTTTTGTGGATTCATTCTGTTCTCAGGCTTTCGCCCACATGAAATATCTCACAGGTCACAAGCGACTCTCTTAACTCCATCCAGTATACATTTCATTTTGCATCATCAAAAGCGCGGCGGAGCTTCAAACATCCTGAACACGACATCAATCGAAGAATGTGTCTCTGAAATTTTGTACTTGCGTATATCTATCACACAATGCCTCCATTGGTCGTTCTTCTTCTTGTTTCCTTCGCCTGCCCACAGGTCCACAGGTCGTTTCCACTTGCGGTGGCTTAATCCAACCCCGGCTTAGCCTTTGCCCAGGCATGACGGCGCCGGGATACTGAAGGTTGCGACTTCGCATTGCGTAGCTCTCACCCGTTTTTGCCCCGCAGCACAGTTGATGGGCAGTTGATCCGCTTTCATCCGCAGTTGATCTGCGCAGTTGATCCGTTCTGATTCGCAGCAGGCCGCGGCTCCCATTGGCCGGCGCAGAACTGTACGCGGCTAGCTCTTTCGCGGGTTTCTACACTTTTCAAAGTGGGTGGCTCCAACGGGGTATCAAGGCTGCCGATTCGCACCCTTTCCACGAACTGTTGCGCGCAATTCTTTCTTCCTGGATCCCGACGCAGCTCACGCTCCTCTTTCTGGGGTTTCCATACTGTTGAAATGGGTTTCGAAACGGCTGTTGGGCATCCTTCCACGAGTTTTTGCACGCAAAATTGGGTGACGGAAGGACTTTCCCTGAACAGTGTCCACGCCCCTTTCAGTGGTTTTTCTGGAGCTCTATATTTTTCAGTGATGTGTAAACGACTCGCCTTAATTTCATTGGAAAACGAACCTTGGCCACAACACCAGTCAGTGCCCGCACACTTAGTCGAGCATAATTTCAGACTCTGACTCACGATTGATTAGCCTTTTACTGCAGAAACGACCTGGAACCTGGAAACAGTCCTTATAAAGGGCTGAGAACAACAGGTTGAAGATGTTTTGCGTCAACGACCTCTGGCGCAGGTACGTTCGGACGATCAGTGATCTAGCTTCGTTGAAATGGGTCAGTGACAGAGTGCCCAGTTCCCCTGCTGAAACGAGTCTTTAAAATCAACAAAGCCCTTTGGGACACGGTGTGACACACACACACATTAAAAAAAGACCATCTACCGGCGCTCTGGAAAGGTCAGCTACACTTTTTCCGCGCAAAATGCTTGCAATCGCTCGGGGCATGTCCTTTGGTGATGTAAAGTGCGATGAGCTCATTGATAGCAGCTTCTGCGGCAGCCGGTGGGAAAGTGTACTTGCGGATGGTGTAAATGCGGGACGCTAGTCCGAGACGTAGGCGACGGCTGCCGGCTGAGGCATGGTCACGGATTTTCCATGCTGAATTTTGAATGTAAGTGATAGTGCGATTGGGAAGACTGATGTTGAACCCCAATATCAACAGGTTCCAATTCGACTGGATCGCCGAAAAAGCTGGGGTGGATAAGGATGTGAGAGGAACGATTCATTGTGTGTGATAATAAAGCGGTTGTCCATATATATACCGGTAGTAGGTGAAGTGGAGCTGGGCATGGCCGAGAAGGCTGGAATGTAGTTGGTTCCAGGCATGTTCGACGAGGGTGATGGCCACGTTGCAGAGGGCTGGAGAGAGCTGGGGGTCCAATCCCGGCCCCTCAGATTTGTTTGTAGGTGGTGTGTTGCAAGCGTCATGTGTGTCCATGGCGCGTTGGGTGGGACGTCGGCGGTGATGTCGGCCGATGTCGGAATGTTGGACTGGGTTGCCGGTGGCTTGGGCGTCGATGGTGATGGTGGTGGTCTGGTGGACAAGTTGCCATTTGGTGATTGAAGCATGGTGTCGAGAGCGCGGGAGGTCACACACAAGAGTTGGCCAAGGAACAAGTGCGCGCGTCCCTTGCGCCACTGTTTTTTCTGCTTGAGATGTATCATTCCGTACGGGAGGTTGAAGGATTTACGTAGTCACCAGCGGTGTTTGGTTTGTAGAATGGTTGGAACGGTGGATGTCAAGTGGTCGCGCAAAGAGTCTGCTGTGAGATGGGGAAGTGGCTGGAAGAGCTCAGGCGACTGCCAGGCCGCTATGCAGCCAAAAAGTGCTGGGCGCAGAAGACGCGAAGCTGCTGGAGCTCATGGCCAGCCCCGATGTGTTCCTGGAGTTGACGGAGGGATCTGGCCGTGAAACGTGGCCCTTGATGAAGTTGGTGGGTGTGTTGATGCCATTGGTGGTCAAGGAAGGTGTCCGCTTGCTAGATAAGTGAAGGGGGAAGGCCATGCGTGCGGAGCCATCGCTGGAAGGCTTTGTCAAAGGTAGTGTAGTAGTGGCGGTTGGCGGGAAAATAAGTGTTGGAGGTGTGGTGGAAGATGAAAATGTCCGAGAGGGTATAAGGACGTAGTGGCCATCGTTTGTGCGGTGATGAGGGTGACGCAGCAGGCCCTGGGAGTGGGTGGAACCGCATGGAAATCACAAGTTCTTCCCAATCGTGAAGTTTGCTGCGCAATGTGCTGTGTGCAGCCTGCGAGATGTGCTGGCGCACGACGGAGGTGAGCCACTTTTGAGTAGCGGGCTGGAAACTGTGGTGGGCCAGGAATGGAATAGCGAAAGGCGTACTGGGGCAAGAAAGTGGTGTGCTTGGGCGATAGCGAGGAGGGCTTTGCTGCGACCGGGCTCTTCAAGGCTAGCAGCCAAGAGGTGACGAAGGTCAGCTCGCCGCTGGCGTCCGCGCTGAAAGCCGCAAGTTATCAGCAGCCGGGCGCAGTGCTGCTGTGGTCAGGTATGTCACTGTGCCCAAGGGTCATTTGGTGGGTCGTATGGCTGCGTGGACAGGGGGAACCGTTTTCGTCATGGGTGGGGACTGGCAGGTACTCTGTGGCTGATTGGAGTTGAATCTGACGGGGCATGGCAGTGGGTGGGGTGTGGTAGCGGGCGAGGGTTGTGGTGTCTGGTGGTTGGACTGCGGTGTCTGGTGGTCGGACTGTGGCGGGCGGCTGCAGGTTGGTGGAGGCGAGGTCGCTGAGCAGTGATGGGGGCGAAGGTTTCGGTTTTGCTGTAGGTTGCGGTGGGGCCTGCAGAGGTGTCTCGGCGACGCCCGAAAATCCAAATTGAAGGGAAGAGGGCTGTTTGGTGGCGGAGGTAACGAAAAGTGCAGGACTGGCGGCTACTGGAAATGGGGGGCCTGTGTGAACGTACAGAGATGGGCTTGGTTTGTACGGGCATAGGGGCTGCTCCGAGCCATTGCTACCCAAACGAAGCTTACGGCGCTGCCAAACACCGCTCAGGACAAAGATATCCGCGTCAAGATCCATGAGATCATTTCTGGACTTGATGGCAGCAAGTCTGCCGGGATGGATGGCTTCATTATGGGGTGCCAGGTTGACTTTGTATCTAAGCACCACAACGACATCGTTGAGGCGTGTGTGAATCGCCTGCACCGCCTGCTCTACCCAGGGCTCGAAGTGACTAGCATTGACTAGGAGAACTGGTAGGGCCCAGTGCGCTCGCGTTTAGCGCACGTTTAGCGCCATAGCTACAAGATCTCCTACGTGGCATACTACGTGGCACCGGCGGCTTAGGAAGAAGAGGTCTGTCGCCAGAACACTGCTCAGGAAAGCCAAGAACAAGGAACACCTGAGTGGCAAACAGACCACACGTGTCTTCAAAGCGGTCAAGCTACTCGAGAAGCATCACTCGAGACCGAAATATAGGTTTTGGGGTTTGAGCCTCAAGGCCATGCCATGGAGTTCGAACGCCAGATGGCCTGTACAGGACCAATGGGGATGGACTCAGCCATGGCCCAAGAAGACCAAAGAAAAAAGACAAAGACCAAGAAACCCTTCTTTTACGGCTACGATGGAAAGAAGATAGAGCTGGAAGACTACAATGGTGCTGGATCTTCCTCGTCTTTGCCGCGATCATCGGAAGCGGCATTGCATGGGGTGTGCACTGACTGGCCCGAAGGCACTGGCAAAAGAAACCGTCATTGGCGCAAAAAACCTCAGTTACACCTGAAAGCCTCTAGAAAACGAAAAAAGGACCAAGAAAACGAAAAGCTGCAGCAGGAAAGAAAAACCAAAAAACCATGTGAATACTTAGCCGCGTGACATGGCATGAACATGCGAATACTTCGCTGCATGAGAGATTCCATACTGGAGTTTTGATCTCAGTAAGCCCTGCGGCGTATGATCAGCTGCTTCGAGCGGAGCAGTGGATCAGGTAAGGGTGCGAGGTAAGGATCAGGTGAAGGACGAAGGATCAGGAAGGATCACCCGTATGGGCATGTGCACATGCTGCGCCCCTGGACACACCACAGACCTCAGTGGGACCTGTGGCGATACACACTTAGATTGATGCTCGCAAGAGCTAAATCAGTTGACGAAGTTCCCCTTTACACGCAATTAGACCTTGACTTGATTCAACCGCAAAAAGCAGAAGAACTGAATTTTAGAACTTTGAACAATGACTCATTAGCACTTTAAGGTGATTAAACAGTTGCTGCAGGTACGTCAGTTCCGCGTCCGGAACTGATATCCTCACCGGGTATTGCCAGCTTCGTTGGTGGAGAAGCAATACCGGTGTCTCCACCCCCTGCGGTGAACGGGTTGGTCCACCAATGGTGAATCATTCAATGCAGGTTCCTCAGAAACAGGTGTGGACTTGGCAGAACGGAAAAATGCAATAACCGAAAGGTGGCTGAGTCGGTGGACTTGTAGGTGTTGAACAAGTTTTTTGGAAACTCGTAAGCTGCTTACTGCAAAACACAGAAGGAGACAGCTTGTCAACAGTTGAAAATTCAAGCAGGTACGTTCCCAAGGCGTCCCTCGGGAATATCCTGACGAATGGCTGGAGCTTCGTTGGATCAGGCCAAGCCAAACGTCCCTGATCCCCCTGCCTCTTTTTTCCGCGCTGAGAAACTATATGCTAGTAGCGATACCAGGAGCCCTTAGTAGCAAAACCAGGGGCCCTAGTAGCGTTCCTTGTGACTCAAAACCTTAGGCACAGGTGTAGACACACACACGAAGCCGTACTCGGCGCACTGCCCCTTGCTTGCAGTTTAGTAGCGTGGCCAGGAGCTGCTAGTAGCGTCCTTACACCCCTTAGAAAGGTCAGAGGTCCCGGTAGTACCGTCCTGGCTCCTGGTAGCGAGGCCAGAAGCCCCTAGTAGCGTCGTTTGTGTCCGCCGGTCGCAAAGCTTTGTACACATAGCGCCAATATTGGCGCTTTTTTTGAAAAATACTAGCCACCTTA